ATATATTTAAAATAATCAAATTAACAAATTTTATATGCTCTAAGAAAAATGAAATTTTATTTTCTTTAGGCTATCTTTTTTTCCAACTTTAAAATATATTTAATAAATAATATATTTATAAAAAACAAATAATTTTTTATTTATAAATAATTTTTATAATATATTTTTAATTATAATAATGTATATATTTTTTATTTTTTTACTTAGGATAATATATTTTTTATTTGAAATAAATATTATAATAATATATTTTATGGGTAGAAGTGGAATATTAAAAAAACCATAAGGGCATAATGGTCCAAAATTTTGGCTCCCCTCCAAAAACCCCCAATTTGGAGGGGAGCCAAAATGGGGGAGGGGAGGGGAGGGGAGGGGACATTTTAGCTCCCCTCCCCTCCAAAATTTTTAACCAAATGAGGGGAGGGGCTCATTTTCCCTCCCCTCCCCTCCCCTCCCCTCCAACCAAACACACCCTTAAGATACTTGTTATATACAGCATGATGGATGTGAGAACTAAGACAAAATAAAATAGGTAATAATTCAAAAATGAGTTAAGTATCACCCACCATTCCCAATTATTTTTCAGATAACACTAAATACTCTAAACTAACTTTATCTTAAAATATATTAAGTAGCATTCATTAAAGGGTTTTTATTAAAGAGTAGTTCTCATATATATGATTAAAAATAATATATTAGAGAAGCAGATAGACATATATTATACATAACCAATTTAACTAATTTTTTTAATATTTCCAAATTGATCATTTAGCTCTTATAATATATTTTAGGCTAAAGTATACTTTCATTCCTTTAACTTTACACAAAGTTTTATTTTGATCCCTTAACTTTAAAAAGTATATTTTTAGTCCTTTAATTTCAAAATTGTTAATCTTAAATAATGATTTTTTGTAACATTCATGGTTGTTTTAAATATTAAACTTAATATGTTAGCATTTAGTAATATTTCATCAGCATTCAAGAACTCAATATTATCATTTTTTATTAACAGTTTTAGGATTAGATGATTAAAATTTTACTTTTTAAAGTTAATGGACCAATATAAAACGTTATATAAAGTTTAAAAATTAAAATATACTTTAGCCTATATTTTATATTTGACACCATTACATTTTATATTACAATATATATTATGGTGTCAAATACATTAAAAATTAATTTAAAATACTAAGTATTATTAAAAAAATATTTTAAGTGTTGGATACTACTTAATCAATTTTTAATACAAAATATATTTTCTTTCATAGTATTGAATGCATTAAAAATTAGTTTAGAACATTTAATGTTATCCGAAAAATAATTCAAAGTGGTGGATGATACTTAACTCATTTTTAAATCATTACCTGTTTTATTTTGTTCTAATTTTTGAGTCCATCATACTATATATAACAAGTATCTAAAATGTTAATAGCGGGTGAACTTGGGAGACGTGTGTGTGTCGGCTCGGAGAAGGCTTGGAGAATTTTGGGGGTTTTGGCGTAGGAAATAGGTGGCAGGCATTACAGAAATTTTTAAAAAAATTGAATGACGCAGAGCTCGTTCTTTGCAAAATCGAGTTCTGTGTTATTTTAAAAATTGTTCCTTCTAATAATGATTTTGAAGGTAGTATTTGAGTAAATAATTTTTATTATATGGTCTCTTGATAATATTAATTACTGTTCATAGCATTTTGCTTAAAAAGCAGAATAATGACAATTAGGCTGCAAAAAATTAATTTAACAATAGCAGTTTTAAAAAGATTGCTGGCAAATTAATTGCAATATTTTATTTTGACAGTAGAATAATATCAATAAAAAATCATATATATATTTTGTATAATTTAGAGTATCTTAGGTCACTTTGAACTTGAAACTAATCTCTATTAAGCCGAGAGCATAAAAATTAAAATCCTTCTAACAAGTACACTTCTTGAGATTCTAACTTGAAAATATCATATATCTATACATCAATTTATTTTTATAAGAAAATAAAAAAATACTTATTAAATTTTAAAATAACAAATAGGTGATTTTGATGATTTTCAGATGTCAAAATTATTACAAGCGTGATCAAAATTATTACAAAAGCATAACCTATTTATTATTTTAAAATTTAATACGTTGAAAGGCGAAAACGTGGTGCCGAGGTGCCAGTGAATCTGGAAGAATTCCACAGTAATAATTGATTTTATTTTATTATTTTTTTAATTCTAAATATAATACTTATTTTATAGTGTAATTTATATTATAAATCACGTTTTATATTTAGTATTAAAGAATATAACATAGGGATCAATGTCAAAATAATCAGTTATTTCATTTAATATATTAATTGGTACGCTGACGTCAAATATTAGTAATTTTTTCCAGATTCAAAATGATTTTATCGGACCTTGTAATCTTGCTGACTTTAAATGCTTTCTTTAAAACTTTTTTGAATGGTCGGTTGCGAGTTTAAATGATCGGTAGAGATTATGATGAGTATGTGGGTTGTAAAAAAAAGTCAAAATATTTATAATCTAATTGTTGACATTATCAAAATAGGCAGCAAGTAGAGGGCAATATTTAATGTGAAAACTAAGAAGATAATGTATGTTTTTTTAATGGGAAAAAAAAAAGAAACAATCTGAACTCGTAACATCGAGTCAACATGGGGCGCCAAACTTTGCAAATTTCAAGTTGGATCCACCTTGTAACTTTATTCAGTGCTTAAGTTAGTCAAATTAGTGAAGCAGTGGGCTGTTCCTTTAATTGAATTTGGTCTTTTTTGCCCTAAAAAATTTAACTGGGTTGGCTCTAAGGGATTTATCAAGACTAGGACATACTTTCATATTCAAAAAACATTTATAAATATACTTATAAATTGTCTATTAATAAGGTTCTCAATTTGATAGCAGGATTTGAACTTGTGATATGGTGGATCATAAATTGATTTCTTACCAACTATTACAATTCTTGTTGGTATTTGGTCAACAGTTTTGAATGAACTACTTCAATTTGATTTTATATACTCTTTTTAGTATTAAATATAAGACTCCAAAATAAATCTTACATTTTGAAAGGAAGGGGAGTATTTTTTTTCTTCTCTCATTAAACTTGAAACATCATTATTTTGGGTTTAAAAATAAAATAATAATAATGACTAGATTTGTGTCTTAATAGCTCTGTTTTAGTGGGATGATGTGTAGCTTCTAAATGAACGTGTGAATTAATCCCGATTTGGACCACTTTTTTTTGAATCGTCATTTCAACTGATTCATTTGCTAATTCAGTTTCCTGATAACTTATGATATACTCTTCCAGTTCTTAAGATGAGACCCGTTTAATTAATTTGATTATATTAAGAAAGTTAGATAAGTTAGTTAATTATAAGAAAAGTGACATATAAATATAAAAAATATGTCTTATATTTAGGATTAAATCCAACTTAAAAATTAGATCCTATATTAAAGACCAAAAACGTAATATTTAGGGTTGGCGTGGGAATCCAAAGGATGCGTTCAAAGAATAACTAGATTTATAATGCAACCAAGAAAGTTTCAATGGGCATATCCTAATTTCAAGATTCACCTTGGATTTCTCTCCTACCATCATTGAAATTTCTTGGATCTTGTATCAACCGCATCCCCTGCGACAAGCATCGGTGAATTAATTTAACAAGATGAACAGAACTTGTGCTGTTAGACATGCTTGTTAGACATGTCAGGTCAGATTATTTTAGTCAAACTTGTACTGACTTATCAATTTCACAGTCAAAGTAACAGATCTGTTAGCATAGGATATCGGTGCACCATTTTAATTACTTTGAGGGCAAAATTGCATCATAAATTACTTTAGGCCACTGGGTGCACCTGGAAAAATACTTGGGGGTGCTGGATGTACCTTAACCCCAAAAAAATTTCACATCACCTGCTTATTAGACATGCCACGTCAGATTGTTTTGGTCAAACTTGTGCTGACCCATCAATTTAACGGTCAAAGTAACAGATCTGTTAGCATGGGATACCGGTGCACCATTTTAATTACTTTGAGGGCAAAATTGCACCATAAATTACTTTAGGCCATTAGGTGCACCTGACAAAATACTTGGGGGTGTTGGATGCACCTTAACTCATTTTATATTTTGATTTTTCATAAGTAAGTGACATTTTAATTTTATCACTCCTTCTAATTTAGTATTTAATTAATCTTTATAAAAATTAAAAAAATGCATTTTGATATTATCAAGTGATATGATTTTAATATGTCAATTTAAGGTTTTTTTTTATTTTGGTTTAAATCATTTGATTTGGTCATCATCGAAATATTTACAATATTTTTTTCTAACATAAGTATCTTTTTATTGGAGGCAAACCTATTCAAGATACTATCGGACATTAAATGTGGGCAACTCTCCCAGCAGGGATTTGAATCTTGGTTCACCACGTTGTGAGAGACTAGCCCATTCTGTTAGACCCAACCCTGTTGGTAATATTTACAATATATGTTTCTTCTTATCATATTTCTGCCTAAAATGTAACATCATTCCTATCAGTAATAAATTATTTCACTTCATATTATTTGGTCATTTCAAACAGTTTAATCTAGCAGATCGAGTTTTCAAGTAAGCAAATCATTGTTGGGCAGAAAAATAGAAAAACAACTTACGCAACATATTAAGAAATAAGGGGAAAAAAAACAAAATTGATCAACAAACTTTTAAGAATTTTAAAATGAAATTAAAAATGACTGATGTACCAAACTAAAATATAATTTATCCTAAAAGAATCTTTTCTCAGGAGCTTTGCAATTTTAATTAATAATTACAAGTCATAACTGCCAAAAGGAGGCCATTATTTTAGGTGCCCGGGGGCAACGGCGCATAGAGTTTTTGAATTTTATATTTTGCCCCTATATCTGCTTGAAAACAAAAAAATGGACCCCACTGAAATTGGATACCGCGCCCGTACTTCATCCTGCCAAATCAAGGAATGATTAATTAGACATTTAGACTTGGCTTGTGTATCTCCTCAATGCATCCCCAAAACCAAGCAATACGTGTTCAAACCTCTTGCTGGCTTTTCCAGAAGTCAGAACACAACTTTCGCCGTAGCATGACGTTATCCTCTTTTTCCCGCAAAACCTTTCCTTCAGTCTCTCTTGAATCCTCATGTTTGGCACATCGTCCTTGACTCTTTGTCATCTTTTGCTGTGAAGCGTTCCAGGCAGAGAGAATACGGGAAAAGAATCAACTCTTGAACTGGAGGAACGTTAAGATCAAGGTTTTGTTTTGTGGGTCAAGTGAAAGCTTAAACTTTGCTTCCTAGGTGGGGCTGACTTGAGAAGCTAGAGATACAGAGGCAGAGAAATAGGAGAAGTTGGGATGGGTATGGCTTGTTGCCCAATATTTTTCTGTGCAAAGGGTTCAGATCGGTAAGCTAAGCTAACTGTTCATGTTTCTGCGTTTCTTTTACTTCTTGATTTTGGTGGAAAATGAGAATTAAAGAGGGTTTCAAATTCTGGGCTTCTATAAGATTTCTGGTATGAGCTAATTGGTCTGAGTAAGAAAAATAAATTGAGGGTTGGTTTGGGCGGTACAAGATATAATAGAGAGATATAATTTAAAGCGCTTTTCTAAGTATTCAATCGCTGAACTGTTTAGAGTATTTCTTTACCTTGAAACCTAAAAACGTTTTATTGTGAAGATTCAAACTTAAATGTACTGTTGTGTGTCTCTTCAATGGGCAATTCAGAGTAGTCTCCTTTGTGCAGAAAAGCACGAGGTAAGAAAGTGCCTGCATGGAGAGTCTTTTCTTTGAAGGAACTACACTCAGCAACAAACAATTTTAACTACGATAACAAGCTTGGAGAAGGGGGATTTGGCAGTGTATACTGGGGCCAGCTTTGGGATGGATCACAAGTGAGATTAAATACTTTCTCTTCAATTCTTTGTTGCATGCTATAAAATCAGCTTTAGTTTATGGTTGTGCTCTATCTCATTATCCTAAATGTGACTAGTTGTGGTAATTTGTTTTCCACAGAAGTATACTTACCGATCCAGTTGCTTTCTGTCATAGATGTTCTTTTCTTCTGCTAAGAGATGTCTATTTTGGAAAAATGCAGATCCATGCTATGTTTTTTCTGTGACTTTCAGTTGGGCTGTCTTATATCAATATCTGTTGGTGAACCAAAATGATTTGCTTGTTCTAATATTGGACTTGGATGATTAGTGCTTTTATCCCACAAAAGAATAACTGTTGCTTCTATTCCCCGGAGGACAGATCTTTAGAGTTGTTGGATAAGGTCATAATGTGGTATCTGTCCCAACAAAATAAGATCACAAGTTGCTAATGCTTTTAATTTCTCTGGTACCTGTGATAATGAAGCTATTTTGGGATACGTAGATAATAGAATGGCATATTTTTGTTAATTCTCTCCTGTTTCAGAATTCTCTTTGGAGCTTCTTCTTATCACTATATACCCTTATATAATCCGCGTACATCTGCAGATTGCAGTGAAAAGATTAAAAGCTTGGAGCAACAAAGCAGATATGGAATTTGCTGCCGAAGTTGAGATATTGGCCAGAGTAAGACACAAGAATCTTCTTAGTCTACGTGGCTATTGTGCTGAAGGGCAAGAAAGACTAATTGTGTACGATTATATGCCAAATTTGAGCCTACTCTCCCATCTTCATAGACAGCACTCTTCAGATTGCCTTCTTAATTGGGACAGGCGCATGAATATCGCTATTGGGTCGGCCGAGGGAATTGCGTAAGTGTTCCTTGACCTAAAGAGCGCAGATTCTGACACAGATACACAGCAACACAATAACATATACTATTTTGGATCCTAAATATAAGTCATTTTCTGAAGTTGTACCGTACAAAACTTGGAAATTTTTTTGCTTTGGAACACCAAACCTAACTTCAAGCAACTTTCTTAATATATATGAGGTAGGCATTTTGACTTATATTTAAAACTGGAGGTATTATGATTTTAAAATACAATTTAGAGTTTTAAAGTGTGTCTGATAACCTTCTCAATTATTTGTGCTTCACAGCTTATCTTCTGTTCTGGTCAGTTTATTAATTCGACAACATTTTGTTTTCATTCAGATATCTTCACCACCAAGCAACACCCCACATAATCCACAGGGATATCAAATCAAGCAATGTGTTGTTGGATGCAGATTTCCATCCTCAGGTTGCTGATTTTGGTTTCGCAAAGCTGATTCCTGATGGGGCAACCCATGTGACGACAAGAGTTAAGGGAACCCTTGGCTACCTCGCGCCGGAATATGCCATGCTCGGTAAGGCATCTGAGAGTTGTGATGTCTACAGTTTTGGGATTCTCTTGTTAGAACTTGCGAGTGGCAAGAAACCAATTGAAAAACTAAGTACTTCAATGAAGCGATCGATAGCTGATTGGGCACTACCATTGGTTATTGAGAGGAGATATAGTGACCTTGCAGATCCAAAGCTAAAGGGTAACTATGTTAAGGAAGAACTAAAAAGGATGATTCTTGTGGCGCTTGTCTGTGCTCAAAGACAGCCTGAGAAAAGACCCACCATGCTTGAGGTGGTAGATCTGCTAAAAGGAGAGTATAAGGATAAGTTATCTGATTTAGAAAAGAATGAATTGTTCAGAAACCCTCCAGCTTTAGAAGACAATGATGGGGCATCAGTTGCTGAAGATAGTTCAGACTTCATCTCAGAAGAGAAGGAATCAACGTTTGAGATAAAAGAGAGTAGTGGGCTATAGTCTTGGCAAAAATAGCTTAAACCATGAACATTTTGTATTGTATTTATACATATTGTAAAGCTCTCTCAACTTGCAGTTTATTGTTATCGCGATCCAAAAAGGAAGCATGAGTTTATTCATGTTGGAAGTTTGAGTGCATGCTGGTTTTGTCATGTTTTGAGTAACTGATATTTGTGCAGTTTTTTTTGTTTTTTTTCCCCTTGACATGATTTTGTATTTGGATGTTTTGAAACACTTTATGTGAAACAGGGGACCATAATTTATATTAAAATATAAGTTTCAAGATCTTTACCTTTGAAAACACCTATATTAAACAAGCATTCGGCTTTTCTCCTGTACTTTCCCATTTGTAGCCTATCTGCTGCCCCACATGCAGTTGTCACCTGCACGAATGAATGAGACGCAATGCAGTAAAGGGAGAGAGGAGGCACATTAGGACGAAAAGTTGGCTAGCAGCAGGATTCAGGTCAATCAATATATCATTAAAGAGTATTTTGAGTACTGTTCATTGAGCCCTATTTTCTTTGTGGCTACCAGGGTAGAAATAAACTAGGTTGGGCTAAGTTTTATCTAAGTAGGTCTCAGCATTTTAAGCCTGAGCCTGCATGTAGGCTTTTTTTTTAGGCCTAAGTCTAAGCCTTTAAAGAACATGATAAGGCCTAAAGCTTGTTTAAAGGCCCACTTGAAATGTAGGCTTTTAAATTGATTTTAAAATCTATACTTCCTAGTTTATATATAACTCTTTAAACTTATTTAAAAGCTTATGTTATGTCTTAAAAGTCTAGAATTTATTTTCACTTGCAATATAAGAGTGCAGTAAGAAAAAGAAAGAATACATAGTGACAACAGTTGTCGAATCAAGTAAAAATAAGAAAAACCAACCATCTATTGACTAATAAATACATTTTCTAAAATTAATCAAGCACAATAACTGGCATGTAAACTTGGATTTTACTTTGTTTTGTTTTCTTACATAAAATGGGCACACTCTTTCCACTGAGATTAAAATATTTCATTTAGGCATCACTAAAATAAACTTACAACAATTGTAGCAAACAACAAAAATCAAGGGAGAGGAAGTGAGCTAACATTGCTATATTGAGCGATCGGAAAAAAAAGAGAAGAAGAGGTGAATGATTGATAGGTGAAAGTGGGTTGATCTTATATAGGAATGTTATGATATAAGACTTAGGGTCAAACTAAAATTTGTAATTTTATAAATGATTTATAAAATTGATTTATATTATATAATATATAATAACACAAATTTAATAAAAAAAAAACTAAATAGACTAGGTCTGTAGGCTTTGCAGACTAGGCCTTATGAAAATAGGCCTAACCTGTTTGTTTAAATAAACCTAGAAATAGGTTTGAATATAAGCCTGATCTATTTACTAAATAGACTAGATCACGCTTTATGCAGGCAAGGCTGCAGACCCCTTGATAAGTGATAAGGGTTTAGTATGTTTCCACTCCCAGTGGTTGCTCTAACAAATCGCTGTAGCCAGAGCCGATGTGAGCCGTGGCTTCGAATTGGGCCAATCTGTTTTTTATGGACTGTGATGTAGTACAACTTTGGGATGGTTTGAGTTGGCATAATGTATGGCCCACATGGGGAACTAACAACCGCCCCATTTTATGGGACCACGCACGCCAATTTGTTCCTTCTAAATGTCAGGACACGTGTGGTATTGTAGGGTGATCGTTAAGAAATTTTCTTCCCAGGAAAGGAGCCTTCGTTTTCAAATGGTTATGAGTATGAGGAAGGCATGTTCTCGCAACTCTCACACGTTGCTTTCACTTGTCTAATCTATCTACTAATTAAGCCCACGATACACGCTTGTTCTTAGGTCTCAAACCACTAAAGGAACTTGGAAGGCTAGATGTGCTGGCTTGGAGCCTTGCACAATAGTGATGGATTTGGAGGGCGCCAGATTGAAGAGAACGTGGAGAGGTGCTTATCCTTTCAGTACACCTCAACTTTAATCACCATGACTGTGATGTGGAGTTTATTGCCGATTTCCAGTCCCATTTCAATTTTATATACTGAAAATGCACATATGGCGATGAGTCTATAAATTCTGTTCCTTAGCCAAAAATGAAGGAAAATTGAGAAATGGATTGTATCTGCCCTTTCTTTTTTGATCTTCATATGTTGAAATTGTCTTTATCTCATGATGATTCTGCTTTCGAAAAGCAGAGTGCTCTATTTGCTCTTGCTGCTTCAGATAAAGTGCTGAAAAACATTTGAGTCTTTCCCCTCTCTATTCATATATCTTTGATGGGGACTTCTGTAATGAACTTTGCGTGAGTCCAGAATCTGCAGATACATGAAATTTTGGTTCCAAATGGTTGTGTAACTTAACTATTTTCTCTGCAACTTTTGTAAAGATGGTGTCATGACATTGGGATAGACGCGGAGTAGTTCCTGCTTCTGGATTTTCTTTCAGTGCACAGCAAATTTGGAGAGTCATTAAGGAGAACAAGGACCTTGACCTACCTGTGCGCAAGCTGTTGTTTAAATACAGTACTGCTTTTTTTTTTTTTTGGGTTAAATACATATATATTGATTGATGGTTGATTTAATTTGATCATTTATACACGATTCACTGTGTAGGTCATGATTGCCTCTGTACGCGGTGAAGAAATTGCTAATGAGAAATATGCTGCTTTTAGTACAAATGAGGTATCAATATTTCTTTCCATTCAATCCCATAACCATGGGCACTGGGGCAGTCCAAATTATTGACATAATGGAAAATGTTCTGTAATCATTAGGAATAGTGTCAATTGGAGGAGGCTGTGCAATCTGGCTCAATTCAATTCTTGGTAATTGCATTTCAAATCGATTAACTAATTTTATGTGACATTTTTATTTTGAGTTGCTCAGTTATTGAACAATGAATACCATGTTTATGCTATGTAAGCTTTATACTAACCATCTTTAACTTTTTATGCATTTTGACAATATTTTATCTTAAACTTTAATTCTTGGCATTCATATAATTGTTTAAATGATTGTTTTCACGGTTAAAAAAGATACTGCTGCAGAAGTAGCTAAGAAAGGGGAACAAGAGCGGCAGTAGGAGCTACAGCCATTCCCCCATGGTGGTCAGTTCAACATACTTCTAGTGTGGCTGATGTGCTTGTGCAGGTGAATTAACTCCCAGGTCTAAATTAGTACTTTTGATTTGATTGAGGCTGGTGGTAGTTTGCTAATTGCTTACATTAGCGATAACGAGTTCTAGAAGATACTATTCTAGGTCTCATTCTCACTGCAGGTCTAGGTCTAGGTCTAGGTCGCCTTCCAACTGTCCCACATAGAGGCTTTGCTTGCTGAGAAATTTCACTACCGCATGTGCATAAAGACTTATGAGGTTTTTGGATAGAAACAAAATCATGATTTTAAAAACGTTTTTATAGTATATAAAGTAAATATGTAGAAGAGTTTGTCTTAATTTGCAGAAAAGTGCTTCTGAGAAGTGCTTTTTGAGTTACCCAAACACCTCCTTATTCTAATAGCTGCCATTTCAGTTATAGGAGCCATGACGAAACTGGCTCAAATCTCTCCCACTTTTCAGTTATCCCCATAATAATAGTGAGTGAAAATAGAAGTATCTATTGATTCTTCATTTGCAGTATGCTTTTAGAGATATTTCTTGCTTGATTATGTGTCACCGGATTCGTTTATACGTGGATTGAAATTAGATGCCTTTTCAAGTGATTTTAAAAGGCGTTCTTCAACATTGCTCTGATTCAAGTATATATCGTAAACCGAACTGAAAAAAAACACAAAAGAGAAATCTCGTCCAAGCCCATGAGCTTATCCCGCTAATAAACAATAAATCTCGTCCAAGCCCATTAGCTTATCAGCAGCGAATTTGTTTAGTTGGTACAATACCCTGCTCTGGACTCGTCGCACCGTTTCTCAAGTATATATTAGGCATACGTAACGTAATATTGGACGAAAGTAATTATTAATAATTAATAAAAGGATGATTCTTGCGGCACTTGTCTGTGCTCAAAGACAGCCTGAGAAGAGACGCACCATGCTTGAGGTGGTAGACCTGCTAAAAGGAGGACATAAGGATAAGTTATCTGATTTAGAAAAGAATGAATTGTTCAGAAACCCTCCAGCTTTAGAAGCCAATGATGGGGCATCAGTTGCTGAAGATAGTTCAGACTTCATATCAGAAGAGAAGGAATCAACGTTTGAGATGAAAGAGAGTCGTGGGCTATAGTCTTGGCAAAAATAGCTTAAACCATGCACATTTTGTATTGTATTTATACATATTGTAAAGCTCTCTCAACTTGCAGTTTATTGTTATCGCGATCCAGAAAGGAAGCATGAGTTTATTCATGTTGGAGGTTTGAGTGCATGTTGGCTTTGTCTTGTTTAGAGTAACTGATATTTGTGCAGTGTTTGTTTATTTTTTCTTGACATGATTTTATATTACAATTTATATTATGGTGTCAAATACATTAAAAATTAATTTAGAATACTCAGTATTACTAAAAAAATATTTTGAGTATTGGATACTACTAATCAAATTTTTAATACAAAATATATTTTCAGAGTGTTGAATGCATCAAAAATTAGTTTAGAATATTTAGCATTATCAGAAAAATAATTGACACTTAACTCCTTTTCAAATTATTACCTATTTTATTTTGTTCTAGTTTTTGCATCCATCATACTATATATTCCTCTAGTCTTAAATATAATATTCATTTTGTAGTATAATTTACATTATAAAATAAGTTCTATATTTAAAAACGAAGAAGTATAACAAGTATCTAAAATGTTAATAGTTGGTGAATTGGCGGGGTTTTGGCGTAGGAAATAGGTGGCAGCATTACAAAAGTTTTTTAAAAAAAAAAATTGCATGACGCAGAGCTCGTTCTTTGCAAAATCGAGTTCTGTGTTATTTTAAAAATTGTTCCTTCTAATAATGATTTTGACGGTAGTATTTGAGTAAATAATTTTTATTATATAGTTTCTTGATAATATTAATTACTGTTCATAGCATTTTGGTTAAAAAGCCAAATAATGACAATTAGGATGCAAGAAATTGATTTAATAACAGTTTTAAAAAGATTGCTGGCAAATTAATTGCAATATTTTCATTATTTTGACTGTAGAATAATGTCAACAAAGCAT